ACTTTTTTTATATAAGCTGACACATAATCTTAAATGTTTTGCCATATGGAAAATTATTAATTACAGTGGGGAATGTGTATATTGTTATTTTACAAGCAGGCACAAGCTTAATATGGGAAATGCTGCTTGCTCTTAACTGGGTTCACCTGGAGTCTCTTGTTTGGAAGGATGGGCACTTTTAGTTCATGTCTGTCTGCAAAATGTCATGTACCCATGAAGGAGATGAGGGATTAGTCAAAGGCAATAAGGAACTAGTTAGCAGGAAGGCAACAGCAAACAGCTTTGAAAGAAGAAGCGTTAAGGTCCAAGGATTTCACTAGTGGAATTTCTCTCCAATTTCTTACCAATTGGTGCTGAACCAGTTTTATTTAATGTTGTCATTGAGAACTTTTGGCATGAAGAGCAGCAGCGTATCAGCAAAATTGCTTGATGATGCAGAACTGGGAGATATTAATAAGATGTGGAGATATTATTAATACAAGTAAGTTCAAGTTGTCTTTAAAAAAGACTGGAAGGCCTCAAGTACTAAAAAAAATAAAAGCAGGGGGGTGGAATTCAGTGCTGCCAAGTGTAAGGTTTTATCTTTTCTGGATGAATAAGAGTTTCCACTGTCAGCTGGGTAATACCAGTGTGCAGAACAGGCAGATACTGGAGGGTGACTGGGAGCAAAAAAGGTGTAAGAATGTATCAGGTAGGAGGTTTCTCCATCATTAGGACCACCTGCTGCTACAGGGTACTGATGAGGGATGTGGTTGAACTCATCAGAAGAATGAAGAGCTTGCTTACTGAGAAGTAACAGAAAATGTTTTTTGTTTAGACTATTTAAGGAAGGAAAAATACACACTCACTATAAATATGTATAGGTGGGAATATATATGCTGTCTATAAATACGTGAGAAGAGAAATCAGTAAAAAAATAAAGCTATGAAGCTTTATTAGTCAAGTTCACTGGGTGGGTTAGTTTCTTCTATTGGATATTGACAAGCATTATAAAAGCCATCTCTCACTCAAAGGGTAAGGTTCCAAGGGGAACTTAACAGCATAGTATGCTATGTGTTCTTACCTCTTTCAATTTAGATTAAAGTTGAGGATGCTCGTGTTTGTCGTAGAGGAGTTAGAAAAATATAAAAAGTAGTTTTACCCTTTGTTTTCCCTTGTTTAAGTCTTTTTCCAGACTTTGTGTTAAGAAAACACATAACATAGTTCCTTTAAGTGTTTCAAAACAAAGGCAGTGGAAGGATCAGTACTGAGATTTTCTTTAGCTGACATTGGCTATTTTAAGTTTGATAGTAACAATTAAATTTTTATATTTAATTGGAAAAATTAAATTTTTGCCGAAGAACTGCTAAAATGCAAAATGGTAGAGTAAAGAAACAAGAATTTTCCTTTGCAGGAATGTGGAATGGGGGACATAGAAGGGGAAAGGAACTATCCACATGAACACAAAATGAAAATGTAGGAACTTGTGGACAAAACAAAGTCTTGACAAAGATATCCAAGTGATCAGAGTACCTTTTCAGGGTTAAACAGGAACTTCACTGAGGGTGACATCTATACCAAAGGGTGACCGACCTCACTTCTCAAGTGACCTTTCTAGGGGAAACCTCCACCAGAGGAACCTGAGTGTAATTAATTTTCTTCTTGTTGATTCTTCTTTACCCATTATTCCAAAACCCTTTAATTGTAATGAATCAATTTCTGTGAAAAGTTCTGATTTCCACAGCTTGACATTTTCCAGAGGAACAATATTTTGCTAAAAATTTCCCAAGCAGCTTTTGTTATTAGTAAAGGTGAACTCATGTAGGATTTTTGCCACATGCATTATGGATGGATTTCAATACACGTTAGAGGAGTCTTCCAAATGCTTTATAGTAATGCAGATATCATTATTTTAGTTAGTAGTTTAAATTTTTTGATGGGCACTGTTCTGCTTTGCTTCTAGTGAAGGAATACGTCTCTCCTTTGAGAGGATATTTGAGTAATTTATTTGTGTTTACCACTCTTCAAGATTGTGAACAATGGGTCGTATTGTCACATGGCTGCGTGCTTTGCATAAAGACTGTTGTGCTTGAATTTTTGTTGGTCTCGTGAAGCTTCCTATTATCAATTCCACTACATGTTACTGGGGAGGTTTACAAATGTCTATTTTTCTTCCCTTCAGTTTTTGTAGCTCTTGTGGTTTTTTTAAATCCAAATCACCTGATTCTGCTGTTACTTTTATTGATGCAAACACAGTCAAAGCAGTGCAGTTTTCTCTGCTGAAAAGCTGACATAAATAAGAGTCTTCAGACTCTAATGCTGACTCTAATGCTGACTTTTGTCCTGAAAGGCAAGTGGAACAAGAGGTGTATTTTTTATGATAGTTCTCCAAAGAGACTAGCCGTTAATCTCTCCTTGAGTAGGTGTGTCAGCTGCAAACATTTCCTTCCAGTCTACCATTTCAATCACACTTCACAGTACACTGAAAATTGGCAAGGATGTTAATTATTGGCCTCTAGAACAAACCACCTACTTTGATTCAAGGGTGTTTTCCAATTTTTAAGAATGTTGTTTCACCTACAGAACAGTATAATTACAGAAAATAGCTTGGTTTGGCTAACATCTTGTGTTCTGTGAGTTCTGCTTGCAAGGCAGCAAGCAGCACCAGGCAAGAGGCTCACCTGCAGAGGATTTTAACCTCTTGCTGACAGGAGTTAGGGCTTGCCAGCATCCAGTACATTGTTCTTAGTATTAGAAGCTCAAAACCGGTGTCACTCAGAGGTTAAACATTAACGCTTTCTGCCTTTGAGGCTGACAGAACACCCCCCATATAGTAAAAAACTTTGTTTTTATTCTCTGTGGAACTTCCTGTTAAAATTTTATGAATGTCTGTTACAGGAGCAATTACAACAGTGGGTCCTGTACCTGGGCCATGCAAAACCCTGGCTGCAACATGACTCACAGAGCAGCATGGTTCAGAGACTGCTTGTGTAGCTGCATTTTTGCAATGCAGTGTTCAATAAAATTTGCCAGGAATCAGCCATGTATCCAGGGCATGATTAATCGACCAGCAGAATAAATTGCCCATAGATGACTGGGAGTTGACAGTAAACAGTAAAACACCTGCCTTGAAGACCTACAGTCTAAGAGACAAACAGGAAACAGAAGCAAGTGGGAGCCCTGTTTTAGGAGACAGATTTTGAGGCATAGACAAGAGTTGTTCGTGATTACACAGAAAGTTTGGCAGAGTTAGAGGCTGAACTATGTGCATTTCCCTTCATGGATTTGTAGCTCATATAACAGGTCTTTAATTTACCAAGAAACTTTTCCACAACGCTGTCCTGAAGAGTTGGCAGAATCCACAGTTGGCATTTCTCATACATACGCCTCTTGGTTAAGGGCTTTACAATTTGTACAATTAATAACTTACACCATGAATTAAAAACACTGAAAAACAGCCCAGTGGTCAGTCTCATATATCAAGGAATTGCTGTGCAGGCCCAATCTTATTTGTTGCTACAACAATAAATCATCCACTGATTTAAAGATAATTTATATAGTACCTGGGCCCTCAAGGAAATCCTGCAGTACTATTGAAACTCAACATTTTTAAATTAATGGTGATTAAGCTATAGACCTATATTAAATATGCTTGAGTACATATTTCTCCTACCTCCTCTTTAACTGTAAGACCTGTCGAGGCTGGCTATCTTCCTGGCTTACAAGCCACATGCTGCAATTTCCGTAATGGTCATGAGTCACACGCCCTTCGCAGTTCAGTGTGAATCAACAATGGGAGGGGAACATCCGGTAGGGTTCACAGATGGGAGATGACAAAAATTGCTCAGGGATTCCCCCACTCCACTATAAACCAGATCCTGGGTGAGAATACACCCAGATCCCAGTGTGTGCTGTTGGTGCTGGTGTCTGCAGTCCCTGTTGGCCCATCACTTGCCTCTGCTCAGGGTTCTGGGTATCCAGCAGCTCTTCTGCTGCTAATAGCCAGGGACTCCCACCATAGGAACTGCACTTAACAACCAGGGAGCCATGTGCAGACCAAGAATCCTGCATTAGTAGTTCATGGCCAAGTGCCTTGCTTCACTCTCTACATGTTGGTCAACATTTTTGCACTATAGGAACACATATATATCAATATGAAATATGTTTCCTGATAACCACTTGGCTGAGCTGAAGAGTTCTAACCTTAACCATTTAAAAATTAACTATATACATGAGGGAAGCCATTCAAAACATAATCCTGCTATGGAAAAAAAATAGAATTAATTCTAATGCTAGAATTTTTCATTAGAATTAAATAGAAAATATGTCCTGTTTAGAACTGGGATAGTGCTTATTTCTTCCTGATAGCTGGTACAGTGCTCTGTTTTGGATTCAGTATGAATCCAAAATGTTGATAACACACTTATGTTTTAGATGTTGCTAACTGGTGTTTACCCCATCAAGGACTTTTCAGTGTCTCATGCTCTGCCAATGAGGAGGTACACAAAAAGCTGAGAGGGAGCATGGCCAGGACAACTGACCGAATTGGCCAAAGGGACGTTTTGTACTGTAGAACACCATGACAATATATAAAATGCGGGAGTTACCAGGAAAGGGAGAGGGAAGTGGCTTGGCAGTGGTTAGCAGGTGGTGAGCTGTTTGTATTGTGCCTCACTTGTCTTTCTTGGGATTTCTCTCTCTCTATCCTTCACCTTTCTATTACAATTATTAGTATTAGTATCATTATTAGTATTATCTTTCAACAAGTTTCAACAGGTTTAATTTTCTTTCCTGATTCTCCTCACCGTGCCACAGTGCGGGGAAAGGGAAAGTGAGCAAACGGCTGAGTGGTACTTGGTTGCTGGCTGGGGTTAAACCATGACGCAGTGTCACATAACCATATAACTCTTTATCTGTTATTATAATAAAGCATGGCTGAAATGAATGCACAGATTGTTATGTTTTCAAAGCAATATGAGTATTCTGAGTAAATTGTTTATCAGTTGTTTATTGTTTCACAGGCAGAATTGATAACCTTGCAACAAGAAAAAGAGGCTGCTCTTCAACAGTGCAAAATACTAGAAGAAGAAATCCAGACATTGCGTGTTTATTACAGGTAAAATGATTGATTATAATATGAATGAGTGAGTCATAGGGGAAATTTTCTGTACTGTGTCTGACTGAGTGAGGAAATGGCCTTATCAAATAGGTATTCGTTGAAAAAATGTGAATACATCAATGAATCAAAGCCTGCATTTCTGCTTTACTGCTCACCAACCATCCCTTTGAAATAGAAGTTCCTCTCTTATAACCTGAATTTTGTATTAGTTTCTTCTAAGGGAAGGGAAAAGTTGCTGATAGTTGATTCTCACACTAAAAGCTGTGCTGTAGCAATGCAATCACTTAAAACACATGGACAAAAGAACCAGTTTACATAAATGCTTGTTTCTTCCCTGATTGTCTGCACATACCTAACTTAATCCACATAGTTTTAAAATAATAAAATCTATAATTCTAAAAGACTGTTTTCTTCTTCAACCCCAATATATGTATGTTTTAATTCCTTATCGTCTGTAGTAGTACGTAGAATTAGAGAAATACTCATTCTCATTAATTTAGTTGGGCTGCACTGAACATTTGCATGGATCAGTGGGTTTTAGTCCCTAAGGAAAATCTCTGTGTGGTCCAGTGAAGGAGTTAGGTTGTTTTATGGAGTGATGTTGGGTTACAGCTCTCATTTCATCCTGACCTCCTGTGTGAGAGGGGATACAGAGCTGCCAGCAGGTTAAAGGCAGGAGAATTGGCATCAACACAGCAGAAAATTGTGAATCTGAAGGCTGAATGTCTGTGATGAGGGATGTGGGCTGCAGAGGTAAATAATAAATGTAGTGTGAATACTATGTTCACTGGAAATAAAGAGGACTAGTTAGTTATGACTAAATAGCATTCGCAGTAGCAGAACTGTATGTGTTTTCAGTGTTTCAGCATTCACAAGTGAAAAATACTTGGGTTTCTAGAGGTTTTTTGAGTTTCCCCTTCTCATTAAGTTTATTAAAACCTTGGAAGGAAGTTTCAAAAACAACTTTTGTTCCTAAATCTCATAGGCATTTATTTAAAGCCTGTTAATAGTGAATAGAAACCCCAAGTAATTTGTGACTATTGCTTTTAATGAATTTGGTCAGCATTTAGTGTGTGCACAAATTATGGTATGATTTACCAAGCTAGAAAGAATTTATTATAGTACCCTTATTACTCACTTAAATGGGTTTCGTAGAATAGTTTAAAAACTCAAATGCAATTTTTGTATTGGTATTTCAGAAAATAAGAATGTGCTTGTGTTTTTCTTTGCACTTTGCATGAGATTTTCAATTGATTTTTTAGATATATTTTTGCCCTAGCCTGTCAAGTTTGCACGAACATAAAATGTTTAACAAGTATAGTAGGCAGCAACTCAGTTTACTCATGTAAATGCTTTAAATCTCAAAAAATGACTTTCAGGAATCAGCATTAGAGAGAACAATGTTATTAACTTATGGCTCTTCGAACAGTTGAAATTTCAGTGTAAGCTGGATGATGATACTTGCAAAATCTAGACATTAGGTGTGGAAATGCTCACCTAATTATCCCCTGGGGCAAGAACTATTGTATTGCTGCTAAGTTATACACGTTATAACATCTAAAGTGGAAGATTTTATCTCCTTCCTTGCTGTTCTAGAGGCTAATGCATTCGGAAGTGGAACCACAGAGTGACTAATTGAGGTTGGCAGGGACCTCTAGAGGTCATCTTCTCCAATCCCTGCTCAAGCAGGACCAACCAGACCTGGTTGCCCAGGATCACGTCCAGACGGGTTTTAAATGTCTGCAGGGATGGAGACTCCACAACTTCTCTGTATGGAGACACTGTCTGTCATACAGAGGCATGACTTGAAAAGCCAAAGACCACCCAGAGTTAAACCTGGTGAGGGAGGTAAAAGGCAACAAGAAAGACTCCTGTAAATCCGTAAGCAGAAACATTTGATGTCTCAGGCCTATCTTTTGCCTTGATTAAAAATTAATTGCACCATTTTGAAGATTCTTATGAACTTCTTAACATTTTGGCTACAGTTTCCCCAATGTTCCATGAATATCTGCAGCCTCTGTCACCCAACAGAGTCACAGTACTCTGAACACATGCCAAATGAGACAGAAAAGAGTATATGTCACATTTGCGAGTTTGGGCCACCAGTATGATCAGGAAGCCATAGCTGTAAAGGGAGACTGAGCATACTGCTCTTGTACAGCCTGAGAAAGAAAAAAATATTTCTTTCTCTAGTGGCTCCAGGGAGACCTAACAGCAACCTGACAGAGTCTGTGTGGAGGTTGTCAAGAAGGACGGGCTCTTGACAGTGCTCCATGACAACAGAGTGAGAGACAACAGAATTGAATTGAAGCAAGATTGTTTCAGTCAGGTTACAAGGGAAAACTTTTTTGCCTTGAGGGCTGTCCATTACTGAAACAGATTGCCAGAGAGGCTTTGCCATCTCTATCCTTGGAGATTTCCAATGCCTGACATGATAAATTCATGAGTAACATGGTCTGATCTCATTGTTGATATCGCTTTGAGAGGAAGGCTGGTTGGACTAGAGACTGCCAGTAGTCACTTCCAACTTGATTATTCTACAATTCTGTGATCTGATAGCTGCTGCTGTTTGAAAATGTTCATTTTTTTTCTCCGACTCTGAAAGAAGTCTATGTTGTAAACCATACTGCTTTTCAGATGAAGTGAAAAGTGAATCCTAACTGAAATTGGAGTTCCATGGAAAAGCTGAATGACCCAAACCAAAATTAAAATGAGCTTTTGCAGAATTAATGATAAAACATTGATTTCCTTACGAGTTTTGACTTCCTGAAAAGAAAGCACATCCGAGAACAATTTATGTCTTATTTAAGAAGGAAATAGAAGTTAAAAGGAAGAAAGACAAAAGGAGGAAGAATCTAGTTCAGATACAGAAGGGAGAATAAGTTGGCTCTGAATAAGGTTTGGCAGGTTTTCTACTTCTGTTTGTTCTTCTTGTGTTGCTTCTGTGTCAAGTTTCAAAAGGAAAATTGTGATTTCTGGATACTAACTCAAAAATACATATCAGAAATAAAAATTTGCATAGGAGCAGCATAGAGTTTCTAGCTTACTAATTATTTCAACACAGTACTCTTTATGCTAGGGATTAATGCAAATCATAGATCCTCAGTGACCAAAGAAGGTTATATCCAGATAATCAGTTTTGAAGTATGTGGGAGTGTTAATCCCACTACTTCTTTCTCATATAGGTCCATTGTTTGAACATCATCACAAGATTTTATTTGCATATTTTTCAGTTATGTGATCTGTCCATTTTTATGATCAGGTTCCTTCTTCCCCTAGATTTCTATGGCATATGGTATGGGATATCCCTTTGGGTCCCTTCCAAACTTCCTGCATACTTCCAGCCCAGTGGAGTGGTGTGGGAAGCAGAAAAGGCCTTGTTTCTGTGTGAACACTGCTCAGGAATAACTAAAACATACATGTATTATCAACACTTTTTCCAAAATATAGCCCCATACCAGTTACTATGAAGAAAATTAACTGTATCAAAGCCAAAACCAGTACAATGTTGCAGAGTAATTGGAATCTATAAGTTATGGCCAGCATGGGAGAAAAAGATGGCTTAATTTACAGTGATGTGATGTTTTTCAATAAAGAAATAGAAGAATAAGTTCAGTGTACCAATAAGTACAATGACTTAAAATAAATATTTTTAGATTCAAACTTTAAGTTAATATGGGTAGCTTCTCTGTCAGCAATGCAAGCAGTTTTCTTGCTCCCTAACCACTTGTATCACTTTTAAAAGTTATAAACTGTTGAAGAGATTTACAGAATTCAAATCTACAAGTTTCAGTGCTTCCAATACTTCAATTAAATTGGAATTCATGTTTAAGTGACACAAGCAAAGGGTCTAAATAACAGTCATTTTTATTGAGGTCCATATATTTTTCCCACAAAGTCTCTTGTAAAATAACATGGAGGTTCATCTTTTTAAAGATTGAAATCAATAGCTGTGAAAGTAGAAAATCAGGAAGTATTTTTATCATTTCCTCAAATGAAAGACTTATAGGCACAGGGACAAACTCAATTTTCATTATAATTACAGAACTGAATCACCCTATAACAGGAGAAATAGATGAGGCATTATTTGCAGTCCCGGACAAAAAGGCTGTTCTCAATTCAAACTTTGAATACAGTCATGTGTGTTTGGTTAACTTCCATTCTATAGTTTCATGACTGATATGCAATATAATGCTCAGATGGTGCCATTTAAACCATGCTTCATGGATGCTGTGTGTGGATATAGAATGGTTTAATTCTTGCTGTTAAAACTGTTACTCTCGTTCCAGTTTTAAGGACTTCTAAAAAACTATAAATTATTTCTACCTAACAGGTCAATTTTCATCTTCACAGCCAGTGCAGTAGCAAGTCAGAATACAATTGCTTAAGTATTCTGACTCCTGTACTCTGACTGACTCCTGCTCAAACATTTCAGCCTGTTTTTTCTGCCATCTCTCAGTCTTTTCCAGAGTTCTCTCAATCCATGTTTCTCTCAGAGGGGAACGATATGTAGCAGAAGACTGGACTACTCTAACGTCCAGTTTCCCAGACCAAATGATCTGGAACCCATTTACAGTGGGATTAGTGAAGCTGCAACCACTAATGAAGAGTAGTGATCTCAGTCCTTCCTCCAAAGCAGTATCAGGCAACCTTGAGCACCTGTCCCTGCAGTTTACCTCAGAGAACTGATCTTTTCATGTCTTTTTTTTTATCTCGCTTTTTCAGTTATGGCCGTTGACTCATTTTCCTGCTCTTTTCATCCTGTCTGCTTGCTGCTGTTCTGGCAGTTGCTGTCATTGTTTCAGTACTAGTTGCTTTAGACTCAACACTGTATAATTGCAGTCATTAAGAAGAATGACCAAATAATGGTATCACTGTAAACTCCACTGTTCTTTTAGAGCAATTTTAGGGAGATCATGGAGAAGACAGCAGTTGCGGTTTAAGTATTCTCTGTCCTTGCAGCAGTGACTTCTGTTTTGTCCAAGAGTTTCAGACAC